GGAAAGATCACTAGCATGAAGCAACCTCCATGCATTGGCTTCCTGGCACACTGTAGTCTGAGAGAGGGGATTTGTTTGCTTAAAACCATGCCAAGGTCATACCAAGGATCCATCTACTATCCATGTTGTAGAGTATATCAAAGAACAATCGTACCCTAAGTCATGACACATTGCTTTACCTGCAGTATTTCTTTATTCAAAAGTACCTTTTGGAGCATTGTCTGTATGGAGGAGATAGGAGTAGTGTGGCTGTCAGGGAATGGGAGGACAGAGTGCAGGCTGTTGCTTGGGCAGTGGAGTGAAACCCCTCAGAGCAGGCAAGCCCAGAAGGAACTTTGCTACATTACATGTTAATATACCTACATCCCAATTTTCAAGGAGGTTGAGAAGGCTTGATCCTGGTGTCTTGTATCAAGAGTGGCACAAATGAGGAAAAGGTCTCATTCTGAAGGAATGAACATCCATGACTGATAACAAGGGTGTAGCAGACTGCCACCCTGTCACCCAGATGTGCTGAATGACATCAGACACAATGACCTGCATAGCTGCTGCTATGTTAGTATAGTCAATTCCTCTTCCTTTCCATTGGCATTGCTAAGGAGGGAGAGGAGCTTTGCATTGCATTTAGCTCCAGAAGTTGAGACATCTTAGACTGACATTTTGTCTTGGTCATGACCCTCTTGCGGGCAGCACTGCTGTCCCACCCTAAGGTTGCCAATGGAATCGAGAATGAGGCTCCTGGGGAACTTCACCAGGCCTGTGCAGGCAGCAGCTGGCACACACTAAATGTGAATTCAGTTGGGGTTGTTGGGAGTTCAGCACTGGCCAATGTAACCTAACCTACTGTAGATATCCAATTATGAATTAGGAGCCTAATGAAGGCACCCCTTTTCAAAGACTGGATTTCTCTATTAAAATATTCATGGCCTTGAAAACATTTAAGCTATCATGTAACTTATTAATTCAACCATCCTAGATAAAATGTGATATTAAAAAAAAGAATAGCGGGGCAAGCCCTGGTCTGTGACAATTAGATGCAGCCAGCAGATGCATACTAGCTGACTTTGTCAAGACATGCAGAAATACATTCCTGCATGTCTGAAGGAAAAAAATGTAGCCCATGCATTTTTAAATGGCCCACATCAAATTGATGTTTGTTCTAAAAATGCTTATGCTAAGAAAAAGTGAGGGGGCTGGGAATTTTAATTTAAAAATAGAATTTTCCTGTTTGTAGGTCAGTCCGATTTTGTGACAGCTATATATGGCACTGACATGTGATAGACCTAAGATTAAGTCTCAAATTCTCAGACACTGGGTTAGAAGAGGCCAAGAATGTTGCAGAAGTGACAAGCTTAGTCTTAGGGGAAGGGGATCCAGTTGTCATACTTTTCAGCACCTCTTGTTAGTGGAGCCATACAAGAGCCTTGACATTGGCACCAGAAAAGGACCGTCCCCGGCTGTCCCCAAGTTAGCAGTCAACTCTCAGTAGGGGGTCGTGGTTGAAAAGAATCACATAGTTTTGAAAAATGGCTGCAATTGATATCTTTCCATTGGCAATATTGTCACTCTCTTCTTTCTACGAAGTGGCAGTGACTTTGTCCGCCGCAGAGACTGTGAAGCAGAAAAATGTCGAAAGAAATGCTACAATTATCAGGCAATATTCATGCACTGGGCAGCCATTCAACTGCTTTATGAAATGAACACATTGTTTTAAGACCAAGGCCCAAATTCTGTCCTGGCATATATGAATAGACTCCTATTGACTCTACTGTAAGTTGCATGTGTATGTCTGAGAGAAGATTCTTGCCTAATTAGCAAAACTAAAACAGGCCCGTGCAAATATAATGAAGACGTAATTGAACTTTTGGGGGAACATCTGTTCAATGTTTTGGGGCTACCCTGTATCAGAGTGATTTTTTTTATTTCTTGTAAGATGCAGTCTTTGGAGGAGGTCCACATTCACCAATTACAATCATAGTTAAAATTTCAAAAATGTTAAACATTTCATACTTATTTAAAGTTAGAAATAATCCATGTTAAATACTGCACCTCTCTCTGGAATGTTAGCTGAGTTCAGTTTGGGGTTTTTCACTATGCTTTACCTCTTTATGTTCAAAAGCAAAGGGAGAAATATTTTGCAGGGTAAGTGCCCACTTCAAATTCCTCCACTGAAAAACAGTTTCAATCCAGAAAGGGATGTGGAAGAGAGTTCAAGTATTTTTGTGCTGGAGCTGACACACCATAGAGAGTCTAGAGAATGGAAGGCCAATGCAGAGCTTTCATGACAGGGAAGGGAAGATAGCCCAGAGTACTCTGAGACCTGCCACGGCTATCATCCTTTCTCTTGCTAAATGTGAATGCAGAGAGTGAAGTTGAAATAACATCTTATTCGATTGACATTTCTGAATGGGAAAAAAGTTTTTTCCCATTCTGAAATGTTCATCTTTTGTGTTCAGTGAGCTAGAAATACCTTGAAAATTTAACAACTGTAGTAGTATGGTAGTTTTATCTCTTCTTTCCTCATAGATCAGTGACTCCCAGCCACTTGTGCAGGTAATACTGTTGGTACATCAAGGTTTTGTTTTTAGTGTTTGCTTTTCTTCTCTTCTAGCTGCAAAACCCACTACAATCCCCACTTCTTATCTTATTGACAAACTCCACACACCACTTCTGTGCTAAGCATCAGCAACTGGAAACAGCCAGCTTCCCATTGAGCTGTGCATGTTCCAACCTAGAATTCAGACTGCTCCCAGCAGAGGTATAACTGGTAAGATTAGCACTGTGAGCACAAGCCCTAGTGGCCCTCCCCCCACCCATGGAAGATGTCACTGCTGCAGGAGGTGGTGCCATCAGACCCCATTACTTCAGAGACACCATGTGGCAGAAGGCCACCTCTGTTTCTCCCCATAAACTCTGCTCTGTGACAATTTGGTTAGGATGGGCCCAGCAGAGGACACACACCTTACCCTATCTCTTTAAGTAACCTGAGCTGGATACATTCCTGAGGGAGGGGGGAAACCTGCTCCCTCTGCCTACGTGACTGGCCTCACACACCTGGGTTAGGGGCTTGCTCCCTGGAGAGCTAGGAACTGCCAGTCAGCCCAGCAACTAGTGATGCATTTCAAATTGGTTGGCTGACAGCCAACAGGTGCCAGCCTCCATTGGACCAGGTAAATGAGGTCACAAGGGCTATATAAGTTAAGGACTGCCCAGGAGGAGGGGGCAGCAGCCATGAGGAAGACTGAGAGAGAGAAAAGAGTTGAACCATCTGAAACTTGTCCTCTCTCTCAAAACTCATGATCAAGGAACTGCCTGCCTCCAGAAGGAATCTCCACCTGCCTCTGGATGATACTTGTGAGTAAGCTACCTGAGATCTAACCAGATATATAGCTTGCAGTAACTCAGATGTTTGATCAAAGGCTACCCAGCCATGGGAGTTTGCTCTATGGGATTTCTCTGATATTGCTCTACCCTGTACCCTATTCAACCCTACCCCTTGTAACCAATAAAATTCTCCTTTGTACCTAGTGTGGGAGACTTATTGGGAGCAGGTCTAGATTATGCCTTGGGGCCCCCTTGGTCGGCTGACTAAGGGAGACCACTACTTGTGCTTCTGACTGAGGGAAGCATCCCAAGTTCTTGAAGTGAATCAAGTACCCTCGAGGGCTACTAGGCCTGTGTTTCCCAGGGTGCGAGAGCCAGAATCAAGCCCAGCCCTGGGTGGTAGCAGTGGAACCCCCAGGCTAGTGGGTGTGCTCCAGGAAGGGGGTCGGCCAGACGTGAGGCACCCCCAGGGAGGCACTCGGAGCCTGGAAGGTGGTTGGGCGCAGTGAGGTGGGTGGCTCTACATAGGAGCACCACCTACTGGCCCGCCACACACCACAGCACTGGATTCGGCAATATCTCCCTGCCACAGCAGTCCCAGCCCAACCTCTGGCTCCCCTTCAGCTGCTGCCTTGACTCCTGTTACATGCTTGCCCTTTAACTTGGTGCTCAAGGATCTTGTCCCAGTAGCCCATCACTAGTTACATACTGGCTTCCAATCTCACAGTCTTGCCCGTGCTACAACATTCTGGATGTGGAATACTCAGGTCTCCACAGTGAAGTAGAACAAGCACAGCTAAAGTCAGTCATTTCTGCTGGTATCTTCCTGCTAAATTACCACAGCAGAAAACACACTAGATTTGAAGCTCAAAGTCAAAGTATGGTTGCCAGAGGAAACGGACAAAAATTGCTCTAGCTAATGCCGCAGGGCCTGATCCAAACCCTAGAAAAATCAATAGAAAGCTTTCCATTAACTTCACCAGGCCTTGGTTCAGTCTCTTTACATTAGGAATAGTTACAGTTTCCCAAAAATCAGATGAACAACTTCCTATTGTGCCTGGCTAGTCCATAGTTACAAACTGGTTTGCTTGCATCCTATTCTGTAAGGTAGTGAAAATTAATCACCAGAGTTCAGTTGACTAATTACAACAAACAAATTAATTGTCTGCATAGATCCTGAACTTCACAATCTGTTTATTGTTCAAACTTTTCAGAGAATATTTACATGAATGCATTTCAACCCATAGATTATTTGTGCAATATTTGCTGTGTACATTGCTTCAGGTATTTTCTATTTGCCTTTAAAATTTCAAGCTGTTTTGACTGAAAAATGCTGTGTGATATACATATCCATGGATGCAATGTTGATAACTCTGGTGCAAGGTCTCATGATTATGAACCTGAAATTCACTTTTGCCAAATATTTTTCAATAGGTGCATTTACATGCACATATTAATGAACAATACATTTTGGTGCATATTGCCCTAGAGTTTGTTGCTCCTGGATGCTGCATTTACACGTGCACACAGAACGATGCCACATTGAGCTAAGTTGGAGTAGCCCCGGCTGGCAGGGGGCCCTGGGGTTCAACCTGTCAGTCCAGGGCTGCTCTGACTTGGCTCATCATGCTGTGGAGGGGCTAGCTGGGACATGAGGGAGCTCCAGTTTGGGGCAGGCTGTGGAGTTTATTAGTTTCCTGCAGCCCAATAGGACTGCACATAGAGACACCAAGATGTTTACTGTGGAGCTAATTAGGCAACTCTACGCTAAAATTGCATGTAGATGCACCCAATGAAATTTAAAATTAACTGCTTCTGTGAATAGTTCTTCAAATAAGTTTGTTTTATAGAACATTAATGGAAAAGGCCTACAAGGCAGGGAAATAGGAAGCAAAAATACAATCCAAGCAAACTATTGAAAAATTGGAGGGAGTGGAGATTAATATTTTTGTTGTTGTATCTGATTAGTACTTCTATTAATCCTGTGCTCTGTCCAATGCAGGACAGCCCATGTGATAGATCCAAATTGCCCTCTGACTCACTTGGAACAAACTCTAATCTCACATTTTGTTAATCTTTGTTACTAATATAAATCACAAGTTGTAAATATCATAAATGGCATGAAGCATTTATTCGGACATCATGTGCAATTTCTTGCTCTAACAACATTTGCTTATTTCCTTTTCCCATGTATGGTTTCAAAGGTCATTCATTTTAGTATGCTTATATGCTTTAGGAGATGTATATATGACAGAAATATTTGAGGTTCTCCTAAAAGAAAGGAAAAAAATGATACAGTTCTGGTGGCTTAATAAGCTTGACATAAGCATGAATATCTACTGGCTTAATAGATTTAACTAAAAGCTGAGCACTGTAATTCCTTTTGTCCCTTGTGCTGACTTGTCCTTTTGCATAGTTGCACTGAAGTTGCACGAAGTTTTGTATTTCAGCACATTTCCATTGGGTATTAAAAAAAATGGAGACATGCCAGATGAAGGTATCTGTCACATAAATAGAAGCATCCAGAATTTTTGGTCTGGAACTTTTTTTAATGAAATATGGAGAATCAGGTCATCCAAAACATTTTGGGAATTCAGGCTGATTCCAATGAATGATGTCTGTAAAAAGAGAAGAAACAAAAATAGAAAAATGTTTAATTTAGAATGTGAAAAGTTAAAAAAAACAAAACCATACAACCTAATGCTTTTCCTTCAGGCCAAAATGAATGTGCTTTTTACTTGTTTATTTGTCAATAATTTAAAAAAAAATCAGTTCTATTTAATCTAAAAGAAAATTTAGCCTTTGATATTTTAGAACTGGCAGTGAACTAAACCTGCAGTTATTGGGATGGCTCAATATACAAAGTTCTGGACCGAATGGTTTCTTTGGTCATACAGCCTTCTTTAATTTCTGTGCCAGGCACAAACACATGGATTATTTTCAATTAAATGAATGGTTTGCTTTTAAGAATCCATTCTTCCAAAATGGTTTCTCTATTTGCTTTTCCTTCTTGTGATGCACCAGCAGTTTTGCTTTCATGTTGGAAATGTACCAAGATGACAAACATAGCCATGAAACTGTGCAAGAAATATGCAAATATCAGGACAAAATAGAATTTGGATGATAGACTATTTAATTTACAGCTGTACAAAGATAAAGGAATAAACAGCCCAGCCACTTAGTAGTGAGTGACAGGGTCTTTCACCACTGTTTCCCTGGTATGAATCATGGACATAGTTCCAAGCTATGCAGAAGGCTAATAAAAAAATGTGAAAATCATTTGTGGGAAAATGAACCTATTATTGCAATACTAGTGTAAATATTATCACAGAGGTATTACTAGGGCAAATTATAATCTCACACTTTTCAGTGTGATTCTCTTTAAGGCAAAATATCTGCTACATTTTATTTATATAAAGCATTGGGTTCCTTTTCCAAGAGTAATGGGAGATGCAAGTGCTCAGCCCCTCTAAAAGTCCAGGCCACGTAGTCTTACAATGGATTTCACCCATCGTGCTGACAACTAATGGCAGGGGCAATGCAAAGAACATGTGACTATGCACATGTTTTATAATACACAGTAGATCATTATGCAATTTGTGCCTAGGCCATCACAGAAGGCTACAAATGAGAGACAGGGGAAGGCCAAGATATCTGAATACACATGAATACAGTGCAGCTAATTCTGTACTCCAAAGGCCCAGAGAGTTATTCCATACTGTAATCATATTTCAGTGCTCCGTGGGCATGTCTGCATGAGATGCTTAATGCGCAGAAGACCAATTCTAATGTGCATTAGCATGGCAGGCAAAACCTGTGTTAATGCATTAATGTGCAGTAGATTTAGTTTAATGCATATTAATGTCACTTAAAGTGCTCATCTGTGGTAATACACAACAGTACTGATTATGGCACATTAATTTAAGTACCTGTCATTACAGGTACTACATTTAACGCGCTGTTATTATGATGAATTAATGAACATATACACATGCCAAGTGAGTGGGTTTGATGAGAAATCAGGACAGGACAAGGATTTTTTATTTTCCTTGGAGATGGTAAAGTACACAAGAGCAGAAGGACGTAAGGGAGAGGTACTTATGCTGGGATAAGGACAGCAATATGAGAGAAGGGACTGGAGGCAACTCCATATTACTTGCCTTTAGGAGCATTGCTGCTAGTGCTTTGAGAGTTAATGCTTTGTAAGGCAGTGCTATATTGGATATTCTATTTTCTAGCTAGAAAACATTTTGAACAATGGTGAGGACATTAAGCAGTGAAAGAAAAGCAAGAAGTTCAGATTGGGGTTCTGCTATTGAGTGCAAATCATGGCAAAAACCCAAGCCAGTAGAGTTCAGAGCCAAATTTCATTCCTGGTTTGATAGAAAATGAAGCTTTGCACAAAAAGCACAGGCTGCAACCCAACATAGTAGACAAAACTTCCTTCTTTCTCCCAAAATACACTTGTCACTGCCAAGCATAGAATAATCACTTAATCATTTTAAATGAGAGCTATAAAAAATTACTCTCCCTGCATAATAGGTGTTTTGCACCCATTTGGAGAAAGCAATGTGCTGCCAAAAAATAATTACCCAACAACATCAAGTGTTCTGCTCCTCCAGGACCCCTCCTAAATCCTCTTTTGTAGGAACAACACAGTGCTGAAGGAATTCAAAGAATAGCTCTTTTCTTTGTCAGTCTCAGAGGGAATGAAAGTTATATCTATTGTTTCTGATGATGCGGTTGACTTTTGTCAAGGCTATAAAAATGTCAGTCTTAAACATGAATCGTGTTCTGCCCATTGTTTGAAGTTACTGGTACAAAATGTCTTTGATTTCTCACAGGCCAGCACAACACCTGGGCAGGCACCACTGAGAGAATAATTGCCCATTTCATTTTCTCCTTTAAAGGAAGATGTGTTCCAGCCAATTTGTGCTTTAAAAGAAGAAATACAGAAAGCCATGGACATTAACTGGAATGGGATGTGCAAACAAAATGAAATTCCACTTTACACAAACCTAAGAAAGGTAGTTCAAAGTTACTGTTTGCTGTGCATTTTTGGCTCTAGTGAAGTATTTCTATCTTTAACACAGCAGGCATCCTAATGCAGGGGATTAGCAAAAGTCCTGTGCGCACTTAACTACATTTTAGTGGCACATAGTTCTGCCACAGATGTAATTCAAGTGGAACACATTTGCCTATCATTCAATGTACTAATATGGGGCATAACATTTTCCATACAGCAAAATTAAAATGATTAGAGCTTCATTTCTTCTGTGTAGTTTACTAAGGCCTAGTTTCATGATTTCATGTTTTGCTATCATTGGTTTTCAACAATAAAGGGGGCACCAAATGCCTGTGGAATGTATGTTTGGAGGCTAAAATGACAAGCATTTAAGTGCTCTTCACGTTTGCCACATAATGAAGAAGGGTCAGTTCTAAGCAAGGTACCTCAGTGCCAAAAAGGTAGGAGCTTAATAGAAGGAATTCAGAAAAGAGCACGTACAGTTATTACTGAAGGACAGAAGCAAGAGAAGAAAAGCACCAAATATGGTCTAGTTTGGACAAATGATACTGAAGCTGCAGAGTGGATCAGAGCAGTTTTTTTCTTCACTGTGTACTTCATTCTGCCAGAAGCATCCTGTCTTTGCTGGCCAGCATATTATATTTATGACTGTGCTCTTACTAACCCCATCAAGAGTTCAGTACTGCTGTTTGCTTTTATGTTGAGTTGCCCCTACTTTCAAATTGTGCAATACATAAGATTACAAACAGTCCCTGCAAATCATGCATGGAGAAAAGATTCTTAATCTTTCTGCTCCTACACACATGCCTTGTACACTGCACGATGATCTAGCATGAACCTTCATGTAATGCCCGCTAAGAACTCTCACACAGGTACAATTACAGCTTTTTGCTGACACAGGAACTTGAGCAAGTGAGCGATGGTTCCTCTTACCTTTCTCTTCTTTTTTTTTTGTGCACCAATACTAGATTTATTGCTTTTGGTGTTTGATTTTCAAAGCATTCAGTGGCTACGTCTACTACTATGCAGTAGCGTTGCACGGCATAACTCCAGTTATTGTGCAGTCATTTAGTACTTGTAGAAGCAGTCAGTGTCTTGTGTAGATGCGGCCAGTGTTGACCTAACTCTGCTTTAGTTGAAGTGACTGGGAGTTTTGCTGATGACTTTACTGGGAGCAGACTCAGGCCAATGCCATATACATTTACACCCTCCACTCAATGCATACTAACATGAAGAAGAGAGAAAAAGATGAAGCAAGACCCAGTCCAAACCTGTGTTCCAGACAGGAAGACAATGTAAAAATCTTTATGGAGATTCAAACGAATTTGTGAAACTTTTGTTTGTTTGTTTTTGTCTTTTGGGGTATTTGTTTTGTTCTTGCTTTCCATTCCCCCACATGGGTACCAGTCTGACTTAGTACTCAGCCAACTAGTAAGGTAATTTTTCACTTTCCTATAGGGCTGAGGTGCTAAATTTTTGCAAAGACCTCAAAACTTGAGCTATAGCAACACATACACATACATGCAGAATGCCTGAACATTGAAATACTGTAATTGGAATAAACAAATGATTATGAAAGATAAAGCAAACAAAAATAAGCTTGTTTTTTCTTTTTTTCTTTTTTTAGTAGTATTAGCATTTTCTTGCTGTCCTTAAATATACCAAACTGCCATTGATTTCAGGAGTTACCTATCCATAACTAACATACTTATCCACAGCTAACCTGGGCAAAGACTTTATTTGTTAGCATGAAATGCAGAATTAAAACTTAACTTCTTTGTATGTATTCAAGACTAACATTAAGAAAATAATTTCTTCAGAGTAGATTACTGCATTGCCCTGATTTCAGGATTGCAAAGCACAACAATAAAATAGGTTACACTTGTTAAAAATTCTCCTTAGGGTTACTATTTCATGCAAGAAAGTATTGACAAATTTCACTGATTCTTTCCTGTTAAAGATAATTGATTAGGATCTTGTTTTAAAAGCAAAATACAAGATGTTTTCCATCAAGCCTCAATATATTTTCAAAAAAACAGCCAAATCTACCAAAATGAGGATGGTTTGGGGCTGAAATTCCAGTCCTGCTATGACATTGTAAGTCATAAAAATCTCAGTTTTCCACTATAAAAAGTAAAACATTCCAGTCTGCAGAGTGTTGGAGAAAATTTGAAATAAAACACACTAAAGGCTCAAAAATGGTAAGACAAACTAATCTTCCCCCCCCCCCCCAATTATTTTTTTTCTCTAAATGTCATGATTTTTTTGGGAGTGGGGGAAGGAGGGGTGAGGAATGACTTAATTGTTTTTGAATGCTTAGAGTTAGCAATACTGTTTTAGGTAAGTCGCTTCCTATCTCATCCTCGTTTTCCCCCTGGGGAAAAATACTGACCTTACTTCAATATTAAGAGACCAGATTGTTATTTGCATTGCATATTCACCACGAAAAGCTCTACACGCATGCAACCTATTTTTATAAACTAACCTATTTTTTTAAAATGTGCCGCTCTCAGCCTCTCTTCTATTGCAAACCTTTTGTGACTGACATAATCAGACTATGCACTGAAGGAAACATTTTCCATCCTCTCCTCT